ACTTGAAATAAATACGGTTTTTACACCTTTTGTAAGTGAGTTTGTTCTAAAGTTGAAGGACTGTTAGGCGCTGTTCAGGTTTGTCACCGCTCTCAACCTGGAGTGTCGGCCAGAACACCACTCAGGCCAGGATTCAGCTCAGGACCAGATGTTTGGATGAGGTGCACCAGGAGTTTAATGAAGACACGAGGCAGGATCCTTTAACTGTTCTGTATTCCAAACTGTATCACAGATAATCCACTGAACACGGATGGGCATAAATGTGTCTACATGAAGGTGTGTGTGTGGTTTCCTAGAATAAACAAAAATACAGAAAATAAGTTCAAGGTGTCCTATCATTACACCATGCTATTATACCTTAGATAAACTAAGAAGGAAACCTCTAAGTCAATATTACTAAGCAAACTTAGGCAAGTTAACTCCACAGTTAACTAATAACCATGTCTCTGCTCCACTGAGAATAGATATGCATGTGCGACACAATGCTCTACAATACACACGTAGCATATAGCTCGGACTTAGCAACAGGTGAAATAATAGCAAACAAATAAACTTCAAATCACTCATTTAGCTGCAGTAAACACTCAAATATTGCAACTTACTCATCAATGACGCACACTCTTAAGGAGAACACATATCTTGTGGTCTTTCCCACGTGTTAGCACAGCGGCTCGGTTACCCAAACTTCCCCACCAGATACCAGCAACGTTGGCTACGGCAAGGTGTTGACGTCATCACTGCCCTAACTACGGTATCCCTTAAGGGACAAAAGTAACGCTGAACAGAAAACACATAATACAAAGAGTAATACTCAACACCAAACTTAAACTATATATAAGGGTCTTTTGAACACTTTTTGATCAGAAATATTGTTAGAAAGCTAAACAGTATTGTTGTTTTTTTTAGTCTTTATTTGGAGGAGCCAACACTTTCTGAAGATCTTGGGTTTCAGGACTGAAAACCATAGAAACTAAGTTTTATTAATGATAAATGTTTGGTTAAAACTCTCAAATGTGAAATATCTATATATATATTTTGATCAAACAAGAAGCCAGTGCAGCGATTTGTGACCTGATCTGACCCACTGGTGTTGGTCAGGCCTCTGGGATGAGCCCAATTGATTCTTTTTATCCTGTTTCAAAAGGAAACCATTTATTCTTTTAGATCTGAGCTCATAACCACATGTTTCTTGCACACTCCTACTTTTAGCCTTATTGAGGCTAATTGAGGCTCTTTAACCTTTATTTTTGGAGCAAAACCAATTACTTTAGTCTCTTCAGCATAATGATGGATGAAATTTTTATGCACTCTCCTTTAAGTTCATACAGCAGACAAATTAGACCAAAATCAGTTTTTTCCCTTTTTTAACACATATCTAACTTTTTAATTTCATTCTGTATGGCCTGTTTTTAAGCTGAAAAACCTGCTAAAAAATCAGATTTTTGGTACTTCCATATCTCCATACTTAATCAGATTTCATATCATCTGCAATCTGAACAGTCATGCTGCATTTTATCATAATTGGATCATAATTATGCACCAGAAGAAGCCAGATATGATAAATCTGAACATAAACAATGGCTGAAAATGATCATTATTAAATTATGTAAGAAATCTGCATCACTAAAGCGCCTGACATCAAGATCTCTCCACTTCCGTCTACACATCTTCTCTACAGAAGGTTGTTGCTGGTAGTTGTGCTTTATTTTTATGAGTTTATGCTCTTGTGACAATACTGTTGGTTCCTATTGCTGAATAACTGTTTCCACCGTGAAACTGTTTGACCGTTAGCCACTACAAATAGCTGTTTGACGTCATTGTTCTTCTTCTGTGCTTCTGAGTTGCTTTGGTGTCAAACCAGAAGTTTTATTGTGATTACATCATTTAGCAGAATGAATGAACAAACACACACATCATATTTCAGTGTAATGGTGTACTGATATATTTGCACTTTAAACTAGACTGAAAATACTTGGTAAGATTTTGTATTTTTGCAGTGAAGAGAAGCAGGAAAACGTAAATATAATAATTTTGGGAGCAAAATTAAGCAGAAACACTCTGTTTTTCACAGTCATGTCAACATTTGGTTCATTGTGGTGTTAAAGCAAACACTCTGATCCTGAGTACAAAGATATTTAATGCTTGCTGTGGTTTTTGGGTAGGGTTAGGGCTAGCCATTATGTTAAGTTGTTTTGTGTCTAGCTTTATAGCAGTTTCAAAGAACAAATATTGGAGTACGATAAATTACCCAAGAAATGATTGTGATGAATGATAATATTGCTGTTTTGAGACCATTTTCAAATTATATATTCATATTGATAATGCAAGTTTGCCCTCTCAATTTCGCACATAATCTCTACAGTGGAACTGAAGCTCTTTTAAATACCCAAAATAAAACGCAACCAAAAACGATAAATAACTGAAACCCTAAGTAAAATGGATTGTGATGTCTCTGTAAACAAAATTGCCCTTCAAAAAATATTAATCCTCAGAATGGAAAATTACCTAAAATGGTAAAAGTTGCCTCAGAATGCCTCAGAAAAGAAGCAGCTAGTATATTATTTTTAATGTATTTGTAAATATTATCTTGTTATTCTAGCAGAATGTGTCAAAAGTGGTCAGTTTTTAAATTGTTTCATGACATTCAGTGGGAACCCTGACCCCAAGCCCCCATTTAAGGTTTAAAATGTATAAATAAAACACTGGAGTTGACCTTTTCGCTCATAATAACAATGAATCCATCAGTTCCTTGGAGCAGCAGACCGAATGCGGCTTGCTAAACAGAGACACACCGCCCACACATGAGAGATAAAGCAGGTTATCAATCCTGGACATAATCCCATTATTCCTGATGAACTGCTCTCCTCTGTGGCCACACACACATTCAGAGGGATAAGGAGACACACAATGACCTCCCAGCTGTCCCCAGAGGAAGGGACGACACGAGATGTCCAGTTTTCAGGAAAAATCTGGGAGATGCTCTTTAATTGACCGTTAGCCACTACATCACTAAATCATGATGGACGTCAGAGGTGAGGATCGGGAGTGTTGAACAGAACGACTGAAATTGTTTTCCAAAGTTGTTTTTGTCAGTTTATTCAAGGCTTCTACTTGTTCCGAGTCAAGCTAACTTCTCTTTGAGTGTAACTCACTTGGTCGAGGCTCACAGACGGCGGTATTTACAGAAGCTTGATATAACTAGCTTAGAAACTGACCCATATCTTCTCCCTCCTGATGTCTTGATCAAATTACCGACTTGCATGAATTCACACCACATGATTTAAATCTCTTCGTCATAAACTGCCGTTCCGCTTACACCGGAGCAGCCTTCAAAACGTACAAAAGACGAGACGATAGCCGGCTTTTTTAAGCTAGGCTACATGACGGTGGGGCACTGTTTCCATGGTTACTGACGCGCACCTTCGCCATAATATGACATTTTACATGTTTCTAATAATACTTATAAAGTATATGAACGTTAATCTTCTTACCTTGTGAAAAGAGTTCACTGCAAATCAGCGGTTACACCGAGGGCTGACAGTCATTATGATTAACGCTGCTGCCTGCTGCCGTATCTTTCCTCATTAAAAGTTATACAATAAACTGACAAGTTTGATTTGTATCCATGTCTGTTTGTGCAGCCGACCGTGCAGCACCCTGTGACCATTTTTACTGCGAAATAAACTTAATTAAAGCAATTCCCCAACAGAAACTAACAACTCATCATGATTGTTTTTTGTTATTTTTACTGTCTGGTTATTATTATATATATATTTTTTTTGGTAATTTGTTTTATCAGGCCGCATGTTGACGCAGCAGCTCCAGTTTATCTCGCCAGGCTGGATTTGCATGCCTCTTTGTCTGTGACTCTCATAAAGCCAAATACATTCATTGTACTAAAAGAGTGAGTAACTCTTAGTGGCTACACTTCATAATTTAGTAACCTATAATTTTTATGGCTTTAACAAAGTGGTTGTTGATGACTGGAGTTCTGAGTTACCTGCTAGCCATTTCAGATTCACTCCTTAAGGCTGCAGGCGTTTGATACAGACTGAGACAGTTCATATTTTAACTGATTTTCGTTTTTTAAATCTCCCAAAACATTAAGAATGTCTTTTTTGAAATTTGATTAAACTAAGCCTGCATTCACACCAGCTCTGTTTATTCCACTTTAATCAAAATCTAATTCATTTGGATAGAAAAACAAACTAGATTTTGGTTCGTTTGAGGGAGACAGCGTACTCTGGTACAAAAGCAGGAAGCGAACTACAGCGCAGGGCATTCTGGGTAAATACAACCAAAACAAACATGCTAATCTAGCGCTAGCAGGAAAAATAACTCGTGATGTTTTATCAAAGATAAAACAAATATTCTGCAACCGCTAAAATCTGACTACTCATTTATGTTAACGTTTTGTGAAGCAGGAAGTTGCGTTCATGTATTCTTCAGAGGTTCTTGTGTCGTTGGTGTAGCGCCCCCGCAGGCGAGGAGGGGAACATGTTTTTCAATCGTTTGGTTTGTTTGATTCAGTGCGGTTTGAAAACGAACAGCTTAAAATGAAACATGTTGCAATTTTGGTCCGGTCTACGGACTATCAGGTGTGAAAACGTAAAGACTAAAACATCCAAACATTTTACTTTCAGCTTTTGTGATACCGGAGAAAGTTTTCCAAACATTTGGTCGGACTGGGAGGCAGGCAGAGTGGATCAGGGCAGGAAAAGCTGCACTGTGTTTCCGACGCAGCTGTGGAAACTTGCAGGTCTGGTTCGTGGAATCACAGGAGAAGAGAGGAGGCAGGGCTTGTTCTGCAGGAGAGACAAGGAGACCCACAGACTGGCGTCAGCTGTCCGCCGCTCCACAGCTGCAGCAGCGCGTTCAGAGCTGGGGTCTTTCTCACTTCTCACACCCACACACACACACACACACACACACACTGGGGCTCTGCAAGAGAGAGAGAGAGTGTGTGTTTTATGTGTTGTTTCTGGCTGACGGAACTGAACAGAAGCTTTCAGTGTGACGGAGAAACATCCTTCACCAGGTGTCCTCCAGTTCAGCAGAAGCTACAGCTTCTATCTTTTCCTCCTCTGTGTTGCTGTTTCTCACAAATCCTTCCTGTTTTTCTGGTTCGCGCTCTGAAGGAAAAACAGGAGGCTGAATGTGGAAAAGAAAATCTCCCTTAGATTTTCCTGAATTCAGATGCTTTCAGACATCATATGTAGATGCTTTTCTCCTCTTACATCTTCTGTTGTTATTGAGGTTGTCTGGCATCAGGAAGCAGTTAATTAGACCTCCTGTCTCTAGTGTTGATCATCACCTGTACATACAACGGTCTGTTACAGCCATCATAGAAAAAAAAGGAGAAATAAGGAGTGAATTGCAATCAAAAACCTCAGAAAATTTTAGATAAATGTCAGAAATTATCCACAAAAATTTCTGAGATTCAAAAGTCAAAACCTAATTGAAAAAAAAAACCCTGAAATTTTTAGATTGTCAGAATTTTTTGTGGAAAAAAAAGAACATTTCAGAGCTTCAAAATTAAAGGCAAATGCAACTTTTGGAACTCAGAAATTTGTAGCAAATGTTTGACTTTTCAGACTCAGAAATGTCCTGTTTTTTTCTAGAAAACTTTAGTTTTTATAGCAAATCTGGATCTTGAAACAAAAGTTTCCAATTTTTTTTTCTAGAAAATTTATTTCTGTTGTTTTTCTTGCTAGTGTTCAAATGAGAAAATTATTTTTTTATTAATTTATTAAGCCATTAATTTCTCATTTTTGTTAATTTCTAACTAATTTTCAAGAACATTCCTGAGATTGTTGCCATAAATTTACTCCTCCTTTGTTTCTTTCCC